CTTGGGGGGGGGGGAATGCTGGGAGCAGGGTCTCTGCCCTTCAGTCACTTGTCTAGCCAGAGTGGGGGATGGGAGCGGGATGCAGGCACAGCTTGCTCCAGGCAGAAGGGGGCAAGCAGCAGCAGGGCAGAGCCCCCACTTCCAGCACTGCTGTGCCTGTATCCTGTACCCCTACATGCTGGCTAGCAAGTGGCACCAGGGCAGAGCCCCCACTCCCAGTGCTGATGAAGGCATGGCAGCATTGGGAGTGGGGGCTATGCCCTGCTGCTGCCTGAAGTGAGCCATGCCTGCATTGCCCACCACACCCCTGTGCCGACTGGGCAAGCGGCAGCAAGGCACAGCCCCCACTCCCAGTGCTGCCGCACCTGCATCCTGCACCCTCCTGCACCAGTTGGCAATTGGTGGCCGGGCAGAGCCTGGAGCGAGCTATGCCTGCATTGCATGCCCCCCGCGCCATCTGGGCAAGCGGCAGCAGGGCATAGCCCCCTTACTCCCCCTGCTGAGGCAGAGGCCAGCACAGCCAAAGGAGCCATGGGAGAAGCCCCCATGGCTGCCCTGCCCGGCCTCATTCCCTGCCCAGCCCAGCCTCCCAGCACTTTACAAACAACAACAAAAAAGCCCCACACTTACCGGCTCTGGCAGCAGTGACTGGAGCCTCTGAGGGCTCATGGCAGAGCCTCCTTGCACAGCATGGCACAGTAGGGGGCAGCGGAATCCAAATCACTGAATCACCAAATCTCTCAGAATGGGCGCCGAATCTTCTGAAGCCGATTCGGCCAAATCAATTCAGGACAGTGATCCAAATCTCCAAATCGAATCACTGTCCTCTGAACTGGCCGAATCAAAATCCAATACCTTCCTATTCACACAGGCCTACTATTTAGAAAAGCTGGACATATACAAGTCTATGGGGCTGGACACTATGCACCCAAGAGTACTAAGGAAAATGGCCAATGTGACTGTAGAGCTGCTGGCCATTATCTCTGAAAACTTGTGGTAGTAGGGAGAGGTCCCAGATGATTGGAAAAAGGCAAATATAGTGCTTATCTTTAACAAAGGGAAGAAGGAGGATCCAGAGAACTACAGAATGCTCAACCTCATCTCAGTCCCTGGAAAAATCATGAAGCAAGTCCTCAAGAAATTCATTTCTAAGCACTTGGAGAAGGAAGTGATTAGGAACAGTCAGCATGGATTCACCAAGGGCAAGTCATGCCTGGCCAACCTGATTGCCTGCTATGATGAGATGACTGGCTCTGAAAATGTGGGAAGAGCAGTAGACATGATATACTTTGACTTTAGCAAGACTTTTGATATGGTTTCCTACAACATTCTTGCA